TAATAAATTGGAACTTTGAGCAATACTTTGCCTTGGACTCTGATTTAATTTTGGATGCCAGTTGGAACCCTGACATGTGTAGTTGTTGAATTAGTAACCTCGTTGTTAAGTGAATCTGGTTTCCCCATTGACTTTGCTGGTCAGAAGGTCGCAAAGGGGGAATCGTGTGACCCCGGGACTCTGTGACCGTCATTAAATGAGAGCTAGCTGCCAAGCATCCGAATGTAAATCACATGACCATGGGGACGCTGCAACGGTCGTAAGTGTGAAAAACGGTCGCAAGTCACTTTTTTCAGTGCTGTTCTAACTTCGAACTTTGTCACTAAGCGATCGGTTGTAAGTCGAGGATACCCTGTGATTGCCACTACTTCCAACTGCTTCATGAAGATGCTACTCTGTTGGCTACCATTAATTCAACAGACTGAGGACAGTTGAGGTCCTCTGATTTGGCAGGTGGGAAAGGGAGATTGAGCAATAAGTGAAGTGTCCAACATCACACCATGAGTCAAGGGGAAGGAAGGAGACAGGCGCAAGTCATCCAGATCTACCAAAGTGGTGAAGTGAGTTACTCCAATTAAGTCCATGAGTAGTTTACATTTAGCTCCATCTGCAGGCAAAAAGATCGGGTGATCTGGCCTCACTTTAAAAGCGGGACAAAAGAATTTTCCAGCTCAATCTCTGCTTGATAAACAGAAATAACCCTTGACTTACAACCGTTCGTTTGGTGGCCATTGGAAGTTACAATGGGGCTGAAAAAAAGCGACTTATGTTTTTCACACTTACGACCGTTGCAGCATCCCCTTGGGCCATGGCTTTGAAATTCAGATGGTTGGCCACGGACTCACCTTTATGACGGTTGCAGTGTCCCCCTTTTGCAACCTTCTGACGAACAAAGCCAGATTCGTTTAACAACCATATTGCTAGTTGAACGGCTGCCATGATGCAGTTAACAACTGGGGCAAGAAAGGGTTGTAAAATGGGGCGAGACTCCCTTAACAACTGTCTCACTTATCAACAGAAATCTTGGGGTCAATTGTGGTTGTAAGCTGAGGACAGCCTGTGTATTCCAAACACACCAGCTCCAATATATCCCAGCACACAGCTGGAGGCAGATATCTAATTGGTTATAGGTAAAGGTAAAAGTTCCCCTCGCACATATGTGTTAGTCATTCCCGACTCCAGGGGGCGTTGCTCATCTCCGTTTCAAAGCCGAAGAGCCAGCGCTNGCTAGGTTGGCAGAAGCTGGGACAAGTCACTGGAGCTCCCTCCGTTATGTGGCGCTAGGGATTCGAACTGCTGAGTTGCCGACCTTTCTGATCGACAAGCTCAGCATCTTAGCCACTGAGCCACTGCATCCATTGTTCCAGTCAGTGTCAGTAAATGGCCAAAGATCTTAGAAGATGAAGTTTGAAACATCTGGAGAACCGAAGATTGTTCTTCCTTAAAGAATACAAAGGCTAAGCTATTGGTTGGGAACGCACTTCCTCCAGCTTTCCTGAGGGTTGTTTTTTTTAAATACGTCTACAGTGACATATATTTCCTTTTTCTGACCTGCAGGGTCCCATCAAGTCTAGGCTTTCAACTGGCAGATGGCAAAAAAGAACAGAAGGACATCCTGAATGCTAGGCTTCCAAGCGACAAAATAGCATCAAATATGCCCAGGCCAGCAAATCTTGTTCCCCAGAATACTTCATGTACACGTCATCCCTGCTACTTCCAAAAAGGAACTTGCACAAGGTGGCCAAGTAGCTTTGCTAATGACAAGGAAGTCCCTGAAGCATATGTGATTGTTTGCCACTCATTTCTAGATGATTACACATCAGTAATAATGCTACCAGGTAAGTAAGATGTAATCTAACAACAACAAGAGTACTACAAAAAAAGAAAAGAAACAGTTGTTTTAGGAATAAATTGTCAATGATATTATCTCTATGCGATACCAACAATTCACTGAGTCCCAGAAAGGAAAGCCGCTCTATTAGAAAATTAAGCTTGACTTACTGGTTGAATTGCCTTGCATTTGGATGATGCATTTGGACTCTTTGCTGGTCTCTCGGGAATTAAAAGGTCTAACCCGAACAGCAACTTTTACAGAAGCTCCTGACATTTTGATGGTCTCTTGTGGGCACTCCAGAAATTAGGTTTCAAGAACTTCTGCGGTTTCTTCTAGTGTTAGCTCTTAAAAGAAAAGAAAAGTGATTTTCAAATACATATCAGATAAACAGTCATTTATTATAACCAAGCATGTTTGATACACACACACACAAATAACATTTTCCTCAGCATGTAAAGCACTGCTCCTTTACAAAACTGAGAGAGAGAAAAGCTTTGATGAGTGACATCACTCATGACTCAGTCAGCTTTAAAAAGATACCCATTTTCTGTACAGCTTGTTCATTTAATTGGTACGAGTGGTAAGTGTAAAAGAATCCAACACATCTCTAAGGATTTCAAAAAAAGACAAAAAGCCTATGCAATACTGCTGGGTCTCGTGTTAGTCTTTCTCCTCGGACATTTCTATGTCCTGCACTAGACAACAATGCTGCAAAAAATCAAACTGAACCATTACCATTCTCTCTCCACAAAGATAAAAAGGTATTTTAGCTGGCAGAGAAAACAGAATATATGTGGGCAAATGAAAATGTTTTACCAAGGCATTTCAAAACAGCTGATGTGGTATCAGATAAAAAAGCAAAATAGAGGCTTAAAATAGCCATACAGTATCCTGCACCGGCTTTACTTGTTCATTGTGTTGACTGATAGGGTCTGTATCTTTTTAGTTAACAGGCATGATCAATATCTTTTAAGTTCTACCATTACGCCTTGCATGAAAAATAAAACACTGGGCTGTTTATTTTTCAAAGCATCCATATCCCAATCAGAGGTGGTATCCAGCAGGTTCTGACCAGTTCTGGAGAACTGGTAGCGAAAATTTTGAGTAGTTCAGAGAACCGGTAAATACCACCTCTGTCTGTCCCACCCCCAATCTATTCTCTGCCTCCCGAGTCCCAGCTGATCAGGAGGAAATGGGGATTTTGCAGTATCCTACCCTGGAGTGGGGAGGGAATGGGGATTTTACAGTATCCTTCCCCGGCAGTGGAGTGGGAATGGAGATTTTACAATATCCTTCCCCTGCCAGGCCCACCAAGCCATGCCACGCCCACCAAGCCACGCCCACAGAACCAGTAGCAAAAAAAAATTAATATCCCACTACTGATCCCAATATAACACCAAAACAACACTGGAAGACTTAGAGGTGTTTATGTAGTGTAGATTTTTTGGGAGAGGCCAGAAAAAAGAGCCGGAGATGTAGCCTTACAATGTCAAACATTCCAGAATGTTTACAGGAAACCTGCTGCCATCCTCCATTTCAATACATATGCTCCTGATGCAGACAGCATTCTGTGCTTATGGATGCTCTTAAAAAGCAAGATAAGACCAGGAAAAAAAGCTTTAAGATTTGCAGCCATTTAAGGCCTCCATCTCTTAAAATGCCTGAAGTGCCTTCCCAGATGTATCGGGCTGGCTCCAACCATTTTTGGCACTTTCTACGGGCACAATACAAAGCCTTGTGTGGTCAATCCATAGGTGAACAGAAGCTGTAAACTACTGCCCTGTAGCACGGCCAGGCCTCCAAAAACCCATGTATCATTTCTGCAGCTGTCAAAGCAGCCCGAATCCAGAGGTCCTCAACAGCAGTCTAGATGGGATGCCGAATTAGCCACTGAAGATTTAATCCAGGGGTCCTCAAACTTTTTAAACGGGGGGCAATTCGCAGTGCCTCAGACTGTTTGGGGGGTGGGGATGGACCAGCTGGGTGGGTATGGCTATGTGATTGGGTGGGCATGGCCAATTTAGCAGCCCAAACTATAATCACAAATTAAACTTTAATTTGTTTTGTTTCTAGGGGTGGAAAGCAGGTTAATAAAGGGATGTGGCTGCTTTGGGGTATGTATGAGGGACTTGTGTGTGTCTGTGTGTCCTCCCCCTCCCTCTCTGAAGCCCATTTTTTGACTCCCGATGCATCCAATACCTTTCTGCCACCCAAAAACAGGCGCGTTTTTGGCTTCTCGGGGTCTCCAGAAGGCAGGTGGGGGCTGGCAGGTAAGTGGGGCGATGTGGGCAGGGCAGCTTCATGGTTCTGCGCGGGCCGGATTAATAGCTTTGGTGGGCTGTATCCAGCCCACAGGCTATAGTTTGAGGCCCCCTGCTTTAATCAAATATGGAATTCTTAGCAGGAACGATAATTAGAATACTAGAATGCCTATAAAAGAATGCGGAGGGCGTTAATAGCAGAACCAAGATTCTTCGTCAAAGCAAGTGATATCAAATATGAAAGATTGAGAACTTTTGTTCTGGAAGTGTACCAGGTTAGGAAAAGCGGTTTTTGGCAAAATTGGACCGTTTCACAGCTGTAACACAATTGGGGACAATATATTTTGCCCCAGCTTTAGCCATCAACTAATAAGATTGTTCTCCGTCACATTCCCGGTTCTATGCTAGAATAAGGCTACTTTACATCTGCAAAACCAGATATCCGCATAGTAACTATGTTAGTAAAGCAGGTGGAGAAGGAGAAACCAATTTTTCTCTATTAGTTTCTTCTCCAGCCTTTGTGAGAGGAAAACACCCTTATTTGTGGAGTCCTTGTACCAATCAGGACATAAGTGGCTCTTCTGTTTAGTTGGGATTTACTGTTTCACGCCTGCTGTTGGGGTGAATTCAACTCTGTTCCACTGAGGAGTCTAAATATCTCCAGGCAGAACAGACAGCCTCTCCCCTTTCCCCTTCCAAAAGTTTCATGTAAATAAGCTTCATGTCAATTAAGCTGCAAGAAATCTAGCCGCCACCCTTTGTGGGTTTTGCATGCAAAAAGAGCACACTGAGGTGGGGGGGGGGGAGTAAAGTGAATTAGGGATAATTATTTTAGCGACTGCGCTCAAACACTCAGTTGGGCTTATTATCCGGGGAGGTCTTATTTTCGGGGAAACAGGTTATCTGGAAAGAATTCAAAAAATTGGAGTCTTCTTATACAGAAAAGTTTCAAGTTGGAAAATATACAAGTTTAGGGTCATTCTCAAGGAAAAAACTGGGGAAGGCGGTGAATTAAAACTAGAAAATGAATCACAGAAATACAAACCCCAAAACATAAATTAGACAAAACATGTTTTTGAATCTAACCCCTAAGCTAACCAAATACTCTTTGTCTGAGCAAGATATTTCTTTCAGACGCTGTGAAAACAGAAATTTTTTTTCCACACACACACACCCATCTTTAAATAAACAAAAAATAGTTGAAATATCCCCAAATTATTATGCTTTTTAGCTTAGTTGCACCTAAAGTTTAAGTGCTGGGTTCCTTCTTGCTCAAGGGCCACCAAAAAGAGTCAAAGTCAGTTTGAAGGAAATGTGGGGTTTTTTTCTGTTTTTAAACCATAACTGACTGACAAACTATAGGGGTCCAGAGATTTCACATGACAATTCCAGAATTTCTATCAGCAAGGTAATTGACTAATACAAGCTTTCTCTAAAGAAGTCATATAATTACAGTGTTCATAAAACTCTATTCTGAACATCTGTTACACAGCAAAAATAATAAGATATAGGCATGTCTGTGGAGATTCTAAGTCATTCAGGTCATAATTGTTCAAAGGTGCTTTTTTTTTTCTTCAAAAGGGCAACTGAACTATTTTTTTTCCTTGAGAAGATGTTCTGCTTCTCATTCAAGAAACTTCACCAGTTTCTATTCCATCCTTCCGCCATCAGAACCGACGAAGCTTCTTGGATGACAAGTGAAGCATTTCCTCCTTCTTCTTCCTCCTCAAGGAAAGAAAAAAACAGTCCAGTTGCCTTTTCAAGGGGAAAAAAAAGCATCTTGGAGACATGTCTAAAGGCACGTATGATGAGTGGAATTAACCAGTGACAGATTACAAATGTGCTGTCAAATCAGTTCAGATGACTGGATTTGTGTAAGTTACTTAACTGGGACATTTAAAGAGCCAGAGTATCATGCAATCCTAATGCCCGAGCATTTCCGAACCAGAATCAGTCTCCAAAATAACCTGCAATTCCCTGGATTAATTGAGGGTTATTCTGAGCCAGGCTGTCATACGAATGGAGAAAGTAAACTCTCCCTGCTGACTTCAGGCTTACAGGCAGGAATCCTAAGGAAGGTCTATAAAAATGGAGCCTATCCAGAAAGCCTGATTTTTACAGTTGACTGACATACACACACACACACACACACACACACANTCATGGCTACTGCTGTGTTGCAATATTTTCAGGGAGGGCTTATTTTCAAGGGAGGGCTTATTTTAACGCATGCGCTCAAAAGTCCGATCGGGGAAACAGGGTACCCACCTACCTACCTATCTACTGTATTTTTCTCTCTTTCTCTCCCTCTCTATCCTCTTATCTACCTTACTTTAAAAAAAAAAATTGTGTCTTCAAAACCTTGGTGCATCTTATACTCCGGTGCGGCTTATACTCCTTAAAATACGGTAAATTGGTGGATCTTTTTTTGTCTTTAGCCAGTATGCAGTTTCCCAGTTGCAAGTTCCTTGTTTCTGTCCTTCTTGTTCAGTTAGGATCCAGAGGTACTTTGTGTTCTGTTCTTAAAGGCAGAAGATTCTGTACCTTAGATCTGATGTCACCTCTACCTTTTTCCGGTCAATTTCTTCTATTGGGAAGAGGATGCAATCCTCTTTGAAAAAAGCAATATAGAAGAGAGCTCTGGAATACAGGATCCTTTCATGACATCATTCTGGTGATTCAGCTCCCAGCTCTTTAATAATACACACACAAAAAAACACAAGTACAGCCAATTGGAAAGGAATGTTATTCAGTCATATGACAGCAACTGAAATGCCGCAATTATACTTCCACTCCCAAGCAATTTGGCCGTGTATTTCAAAATCAGATAGAAGGGTTTGCCTCAAATCCAGCAGTTGGAAGGAATGGCTATTCCCCAGAAGCCCAGCTTCATTGAAGTTAATGGTTATATAAATTACAACATATTTTCTGAGGTCAAGGGGCAGAGTGTGACTCTCCACTTTTCTTTCTAATTGCTGTTTTGTTTATTGCTTCCCATGCTGATAATTAGTTGGACCATTCATTAATGGATTCTTTTTAAAAGTTCCATTAGGCAAAATATCCGAAGCATTGAGCACAGTATTATCAACACCATGCCTCAAACTCTGTCATCCTTTTAAAGCTACGATAAATTCAATTTATGAATCTCATTTGCTTTTTAAAAAAAACAGGTTTCAAAAATTCCCCCTCCCTGTTTTCTGTGACAGAAACTTCCCTGTATCTTGTCTTCGTGACTACTGAATTAACTTGAACAAGTTAAAGCAATGAGTTTCGAGTGGGCCCATCCCCTTTATCTCATGTTTGAAGCAACAAAAGAGAAACAAGCCATGCCTTGAAGGACCATAGTTGCTGCATTGAACAGATCATAGCTTTTTGGAGGGGAAGTCTAGCAGATAACTTGAGCTCTAGAAATCTTTGTGATTTAAATTCTTCCCTACCCTGTTTCCCCGAAAATAAGACCTTCTGGGATTATAAGAGCGCATGTGCTAAAATAAGCCCTCCTTGAAAATATTGCTGCGCAGCAGCAGCCATGAGGTGACCACGTGTGCCGCCTCCTGCACCTCAAAAATAATAAGACCTCCCCAAAAATACGGCCAAATGCTTATTTCAGGGGTCAAAAGAAAATAAGACCCTCTTATTTTGGGGGAAACACGGTANACACACACACACACACACACACACACATACACACCAGCGAATACGCAAAGGACTAACAAAGAGGCAGAAAGGAGATGGGGGGAGGCTGCTTTTTGAAAGAGTCCCAACACAACACCAGGGCAATGATGATAACAAAAGCAGACAGTGATCTCTTTGTGAAGTTGGCTTGTTGGAAGTTTTATGCCCTTTGATCAGCAGAAGTGCCCTTCCGTCGTATTGAGTTAGGCTGCTAAATATTTCAGTGCAAATGAAAGGAGCAATAGCAAGTAATATGAATGCTGTCAAGTTTGGCATTCATCACCCAAATCCGTGTTTTTGCAAAGCTTACACTGCTATGGAAACAAGAGTGTTACCAAAGCCAGTGAGTGTGCATCTATCAAAAGGTATTCCAAATGAAATTAATGGAATTGGCTCCTAAGACAACAGCTTAAAATACCTTTCATTCCTCTTTCTGTAACTGTAGCCACAAAAGAAACACAATAAATGGGGAGAGAGAAAATCCACAGTATTCTGCTCTGAGGGAGGAAACCTGGCAAGGCTCAAGAGAGAAAATAATAAAAAGAGAGGGAGCCGAAGAAAGCTGAAATAGCTTATATTCAAATTGAGAGATTTAATTCCAGGACTATAACAAACATACAGCTTAGAGAGGGAGAGCCCCTGAACCCCACCCTATACAATTCCCGACAAACCAAACGGGCAGCGGAGAGTGGAAAAGACAAGCCAGGGATGATCAAAGTCTCACAAATTCCAGGGAGCATTTTCACCGAGATCCTCATCGAGTGGTTCTTCTTACCCTCCTGCCATCCTAACCCTGACGGACCTCCTGGAAGACCGTCAGATCATAATCCCAATATGGCTGCCTCTATGATTGTGCTGTGCTGGATGCTGTATATAGAGGAAGGGAGGACACATAACAAAAAAAGGAGAGCATCTCTCTTTAGGGCTTAAAATAGTTTTAAACAAAAAGCAAGAGGGGGACGGAGAGGAAAGAGACAGAGTTTGCTGCCACACAAATCACTGTACGGAATCAGGTTCAAGTCAGACTGGTTAACTTGAAGGAGAGAGAGGTGTGGGGGGGGAATCAGCCTCAAACTCCACCCTGCTTCTGAGATGAGATGGAGTCTAGGCCGCAGCACTGTGGCTCAAGGAGAAAAGATGCAAGATGGGAATAATTGATTAGGAGGGATGGGCCCAATCCAGAGCAGAGCCTTCAGCAGCCGGGGAAACAGAAGATCTGGGAGAGAAAACTCATTAAAGAACTTATTTTCCCCACTCCCAAAATCTTTGTTTGACAGATGTTGATTTTGAGTGTCAGTGAGTGTATCATTTAAAAAACTTCTAAACTTGGAACACTAACCAAAGCTCAGGAGAGGTGGAGGAAGAGGGGGGAAGACGGGGTCCCATTTCACTGGTTTGGGAAGCTCCTTGTGCCAACAAGTTTTTTTTTAAAAAAAAAAAAAACCAGGCTGCCACAAGATCTCGCCTTAGCTGCAGAAAAAAAGTCTCTAGGGGGAACATGAAGTGGATAAAAGGAATGTGGGTAAGGGGAGGGCCAAAAAAAACAAAAAACCTGTGAGGACACTACAACTGGAATTGACTAGTTGTGGGATAAAACACCAGACTCCTTGAAAAGAAAATTATTCAGAAAACAGGCTTCCTCCTACAACGATCAAAGTGGAAAAAGCTTATGCAAGGAAATTGCTGGTAGGGCATGAATATGTGTGTGTGTGTGTGTGTGTCATACACAAATACTGACCCATAAACACAGGCAGCCTGTTATTCAAAATGGTCTAATAAAAAAGTAAAAGGACTCCAATGCAAATGCATTTGTAACGTTTGTAAACCTGCACACAGCAAATGCAGATGCACCAATGTTGTTGAATCTGTATACAGCTCAATACATGGATTATATTCCTGGGGGTCATATACACCACCAATTTACCCCCAAATTACCAGTCCCACGTCCCTAAGAGTTTTGCACGTTAACCTCTTAAATGCCAACTGCAGGTTTTTCAAAGCCAACAGGCCAGGGAAACAAAACAAGCACACCAAGGAGAGCTCCTAGGTAAAACCTTACTAGGGACTAGAACAATTTTTGAGATATACACCTATTTCTTTATGTTCTCATGCCTAGGTGTACAACTCGTAAAATAAAAGGCAGCTTTCCAAAATGCTTGATTACTATTATCACTATGATCAGACTTTTATTTCACAGTCAATCCCTTCTACCCCAAATTTATTATTACCAAAATAACATGCCCGCTGTTGGTACCAAATTGCGCCCCTGCCAAAATGAAAGACATTGCAAATGGACCCAACTTATATTATTATCATCATCATGGCTTTTTGGTCCGAGATCTGACATATGGGAGGGGTAGGGTCTCCTGCTTGAGCAGGGTTGAACTAGAGGACCTCCAAGGTCCCTTTCAACTCTGTCATTATTATCCTAGACTCAGGCCTGGACTACAACTCCCATCATCCCACAACAGCAGCATCTCCCACACCTCCAGGAGAGGCCACTGAGGAAAATCCACCCTATTCCTCCTCCATTCTCTCCTCCAACTGGATATTGCTATATTGAACATAATCTGCTTTCCCTTTGGGAGAGAGACATCTTGATACGGAGGAAGGGAGAAGAATTTTAAAGAGACGGAAGGAAAAAAACAAAGGAGGGATGATGAGAGAAAGGGGGGATAAATAAAGGAGAAACCATGATGGCCTCTTTGGGTAATTTCTTTTCCATCAAGGCCATCATTTGTCCATGGAGGCGGTGGCTGAGAACGGAGAGATCGGACATCGGTCCTTGTTCCTTTTGTTTTTTATTTATTTAAAATTTTATTTTTATATAAGCAATCCATTTTCCATTAACCAGTGGGTAATAAATATTTTGTGCCAACACTAAAACATAGTCATAATTCAATCTCATCTCAGCTTAATTTCCAATACCTTAAAAGTATCTGATATTACAACAACCCCGTGGCAATTCATTTATCTCTATGAGTTATATATGATTATTCATACATTTTCTATACTCTATAGATAACTTTTAATCCTTAGGTCTATTCTCTCACCACCGAAGATTTCCCAAATTGTATCATAAACGGTTTGTTCTGTCTCTTTGATAGCCAGGATCCATCTGTTCCTTTAGGACTCCCGAGCCCATCATCCCCAGAGGATGGGCGTTGCAGCCCCGGAGGGCGCCGGGTTGGGGTAGGTGGGCGAGCAGGTGGCTGAGAGAGCCCCGCCCCAACAGCGGCGTCATCGTCTCCTCAGGTCACGTGACGGGCTCGGGCGTACTCCCCCCCCTACTCCCCCCCACCGGTTTTTTTTTACCTCAGTGCGGTGAAGGGCGGAGCGACACCGGCGCCACAGCAAAAAAATAATAATAACTAACGGCTTCCTGGGCGATCACGGCCGGCGAGGCTGCTAGCGGAGAAGAAGTTGCCGCCGCCGAGCCCCATTCCGGAGCTGCCCTCCCGGGACGGCGAGAAGGAGCAAAGGCTCCGCGGAGACGACAAACCCGCCTTGACAATACCGCCGCCGCCGCTCTACTGACAAGGGAAAGCGATGGAGCTGCTTTCACCCCCCCTCCTCCCACCGGCTCCGGACCCCGCCCCTTTTTCGCGGCGGCCGTCCAATCAGCGGCGGAAGAGAGAATCCCGCCTCCCGAGCGCAGCCACCGGCATCCTCGCCGATAGGCGGCCGTCTTTGTCAATCCATGACGGAAAGGCTCAGTAAAGGCGGAGGGCGACGCCTCCACTGCCAATCTCGGAGCGCCTCTCATCCAATCCAATGAAGCGCGGGGCGTAGGCCCGCGAAGGCAGCCAATGAGCGCTCGACGAAGGGGAGATGCGCTGCACTGCTTCACAGTCTCGGGGAATTCTCCTTGGGATTCTTTTAAGCCGGTGGCGTAGGAATGCCGGGGAGGGAAGGACCCTCGCGCGGAAGAACAAATTCGAGGGGAGGGGGAGAGTTGACCCAGCGGGGTATAAAAGGGGAGCGAGGCGTCCTTTTTCTCCTATTTCCCTCAGATTTAGTCTTCGACTTGAGGTCGCTGAGGATTGTGGGAAGAAGGTTGAGTGACTTGAGCGCTTTGGGATTTGATTCAGGTCAATTCTCGCCAGCCGTGACGAAAGCGACGGAGAGAAAACAAAACATATTAAAATTAAAATAACGGCGCCAATTAAAAGGTCGACGATGGCCGTGCCGCTTTTTAAAGCGCGCAATGGACGTCTGAATGCAGAAAGTACCTTTGGAAGGGATTGGCACACAATCACCAACGCTCTCCCTTATCCCGGTTTATTATTATGGGCTGGGATTACACAAAGTACATTAAAATGAGAGATTGCAAATATGCAGTTGAGAATCTCTAGGAATTTTTTTTTTAAGGAATTACCACATCCACGTTGACATTTGCTGTGAAAAATAAAATCTTTGGAATGTTTGCATGGTCTTATTTTATATAGATATATAAATAAATATATATAAATAAATATATATGTGTGTGTATGTGAAGAGACAGACATCACAATCTCTGGAATTTAAAATATATTATCCGCTTAGTTTTCGTTGTCTCTGCTAATATCGTCAGTGTAAAAACTACCATTGAGGAGATATTTGCCTTTATACATCATTGATTATATATATATTATAATCCTCCACTTACAACCATTCATTTAGACGTTTGGAGCATCAATGGCACTGAAAAAGGGACTTACGACTGGTTCTCACACTTACAACCATTGGAGCATTCCCATGGTCATGTGATCAAAATCCGGACATTTGGCAACTGGCATGGACTTATGACAGTTGACCTGGGTCATGGGATGACTCCTTGTCACCTTCACACACAAGCGAAGTCAATGGGAGAAGCTGGATGTACTTAACGACCACGATTCACTTAATAACTGCAGTGAATTGTTTTAACTGTGGCGGCCAAAAAAAGGTCGTAAAATGGGACAAAACTCACTTAATGGCCTTGCTGACCAGTGGGAACTGGGGCCTCAATTGTGGTTGTTAAGTCAAGGGCTATGTTGTTACTGAGGGCTGGCACAGCNTTTTTTTTTTTTTAAATGCAGGGCTCCGTGTCGTATTCGAAAATTGAAGATTGCATATGGAGCCAGCGCAAGCATCACATCTGGATATTATTGGCTAGAACGGAATGCAGGGCAAAAATAAATAAATAAATCCCGTTTCATAGGGAAAAAAAATTAAGCACAGCTTTAAACAAGGAAGAGAATGTACCCGAAACGGATCCACACAATCAAGTGGTTATCATCCTTGGTTGGAAACCAGGTCAACATTATCCAATACCCGCTTCTCGTAGCTGCCTACTCAGAAATGCAGCAAGCACTCAGTTTTATGCTGCTTCTGAAAGAAGAGAAGAATAGAATGCCAAAGTTCGCATCTTGATGCATCGCATTAAAGTTTAAATGGAGCTTTGCGTGGCTGCCTTTCGAACAGCTTCCAGTTTTTTTTTTAAATTAACGGAACTTTAAATGGCAAAAACCTTTAGCTAGAGCTTCCGTTTTTGCTCCAATTTTCACACACACAGAGAAAAAAACAACAACAGGTAATATCCTGAATTGACCTTGCCTGGGCTTGAGATTCCAGGGAACTGCAGGACTGCATGATAGACTTCTCTTGGAATTGGTCAACAACAAATTCCAAGAGAAAAATAGCAAGATGTTTTTGTATTGTTACCGTTGTCAGATTCGAGTTAATGTCAGGGTTCCAAATAGCGTCCAAAAGTGAATCAGAGTCTAAGGCAAAGTATTGCTCAAAGTTCCAATTTATTAAGAGAGTCATGTTGGCATATCAGGGACAACCTGAATCTGAAAGCTTCCAGGTTTTCCCCATCCAGTTGAAAGTTCAAGATCTTGCCCCCACACCCACAAGTCCATCCCATGATCCAATCTTCCACTGCCATGCTGGCAGTTCCGCCCACCCAGTTCCGGGCAGGTGCAGAGGTTCCAAGATGACTTTCTTAATAAATTGGAACTTTGAGCAATACTTTGTCTTGGGATTCTGATTTAATTTTGGATGTTATTTGGAACCCTGACATTAACCCGAATCTGACATTGACAACAGTGTTTTCCCCAAAATAAGACAGGGTCTTATTCCCCCCCCCCCGAAATAAGCGTGTGGCCTTATTTTCAGGGAGGGCTTATTATTTTTGAGGTGCAGGAGACGGCAAGCGTGGTCATTTCATGGCTACTGCTGTGTTGCAATATTTTCAGG